TCGTTTTAATGAAGGTTTTAATTCTGAGAGGATCGAACAGCTCTCGGTGTCTCTTACCACTGAGGAGCTAACCTCTCAGTTCAACTCTGCCTGTTTAGATGTTCTGGACCGTGTTGCTCCCCTTAAGACCAGAAAAACGAAACTTAAATCAGAGCCTTGGCTGAATGACGTCACGCGAGCCGTTAGGCGGCAGTGTCGCAAAGCTGAACGAAAGTGGAGGAAGGACAGGCTCCAGGTGTCTTTTCAAATGTTAAGGGAGAGTTGGCGTCACTATCAGAAAACCGTTAAAGCTGCCAAATGTAAATTCTTTTCTGATTTAATTGTCTCCAACTCCCACAACCCCCGAGTTCTTTTCTCCACCCTGAACTCAGTTCTACACCTCAGTGAGCCTTCACCTCTGGAAGCCTCAACTGAGCTGTGTGAGAACTTCCTCCATTTCTTTTTAGAAAAAGTGGCAAACACCCGGGCACTCATTTCTCCACCAGCTCATGATCTGTCCATCCCATCTCAGTGCGTGGCTGTGTTTGACCACTTTGAGCCCATCTCTCTGTCCTCTCTGGAGCAGGTAATGTGCAGCATGAAGCCATCTGGTTCCCCCTTTGATGTGGTCCCCCCTCGACTACTAAAGGAAGTTTTTCCTACCCTGGGTCCTTTTATCCTCACTATTCTGAATAGCAGTTTATCCTCAGGTGTGGTGCCAAAGACTTTTAAACATGCTGCTGTCCAGCCCCTCCTGAAAAAACCTAACCTTGACCCCTCAGTCATGTCCAACTTCCGGCCTGTCTCCAGACTCCCATTCACCTCTAAACTACTGGAAAAAATTGTGGAGTCTCAGTTGAAACAGTTTTTGGGGGATCACGCTATCCTTGAGTTATTCCAATCTGGCTTCAAATCTCTCCATAGCACTGAAACTGCTCTACTGAAGGTTTTTAATGACATTTTCATATCCACAGACGCAGGTGATTCTGTGCTGCTTGTCCTATTGGACCTTACATCTGCTTTTGACACCATCGACCACAATATCCTCATTTCTAGACTGGAGCAGTGGGTGGGCATCACAGGGTCAGCCCTTAAATGGTTTGGGTCCTACCTCTCTGACAGAACCTTCTGTGTCAATATCAAAGATTTTAGTTTGGCATCGACCGCACTCCAGTGGGGGGTACCGCAGGGGTCCATCCTCGGTCCCCTTCTCTTTTCTTTATACCTGCTGCCACTAGGTGCTATCTTCCGCAAACACGACATACCCTTTCATTTCTATGCCGATGATTGCCAAATTTACTTCCCCCTGAGGCACAGAGGCACACGCTCTATTCAGCCTCTTCTTGACTGCCTGGCTGACATCCGGGACTGGATGGCTTTAAACTTCTTAAGCTTCAATGAGAAGAAGTCTGAAGTCATGCTGTTCCATCCCAGTGGCTCACTCATGAACTATGACATTGACCTATTCTCTCTAGCCCCGCTAGAGAAACAAAAGGTGACTAATCTGGGGGTGATAATGGACCCGTCCTTAAAACTCAACAGTCACGTAAACATGATGGTCAAATCCTGTTTTTTTCAGCTGAGACGGCTGTCTAAGCTGAAGCCTATACTCAACAAAAAGAACCTCGAGACAGTGATCCACGCCTTCATAACATCTAGGCTTGATTATTGCAATTCACTTCTGTTTGGAATCAGTCAGTCCTCCATTGCTCGTCTACAACTGGTCCAAAATGCTGCAGCCCGATTTTTAACTGGTACAGGCTATAGAGAGCACATCACGCCAGTTTTGGCCTCCCTGCACTGGCTACCCATTCACCTTCGGATCCATTTCAAAATTCTCATGTATGTTTTTAAATCACTGAACAGTTCCGCCCCATCCTATCTCACTGATCTTCTGCAGCCATATGTCCCACCGCGCTCTCTGAGGTCAGCAGACCAGATGCTTCTCTCAGTCCCAGAAAACCGTCGTAAGCTCAGAGGTGACAGGGCTTTCTCTGTTGCAGGTCCACGACTGTGGAATGAGTTGCCACTGAGTGTCCGGCAGGCTCCCACACTCTCAGTCTTTAAGTCTCGCTTGAAGACCCACTTCTATTCGCTTGCCTTTAACATGGTGTGATTTGTTTTGGTCCGGTCTGTTCTCTACTCTGTTGGCCATTTTAGTTAGCTTCTGCTGCTATTTGTATCTGTATTTCTATTTTATGTTTTCCTGTCCGCTGTGCATGTTTGTGTTCTTTTGTACAGCACTTTGGTTGGCCTTGTTGCTGTTTTAAGTGCTATATAAATAAATTGGTATGGTATGGTATGGTATAATTGTCCCGTTATTACACCAGTTCTCATGCACATAAATACAGAGCCCCCCACCTCTGCTCTTACCGGAGTCCGCAGTCCTGTCCCAGCGTAGCAGAGAGCGGCCTGCTAGCTGTATGCTAGCATCGGGTATCCCGGGGTGAAGCCAGGTTTCGGTGATAATCAGAACACAGCAGTCACGAACATAGCAATTTCCAGCGAGTTGCAATTCCAAATAATCCGTTTTATGCACCAGGGATCTGGCATTAGAGAGATAAAGGCTCGGTAGACGTGGCTTGTGGGGTTGTGATCTTAGCCTTAGCATAACGCCAGACCTGCAGCCTCGCTTCTGCTTCCTCTCCCTTCTCCGTATGCGCCGCCTCCCAGGCCCGACAACAATCCACGGAGAGCCCGGTGATCTCGCTATTTCGTCTGGGATGTTGTGCGTGTAATGAAAGTCACTCGAAACAGGTATTTGGTGCTGCTCACTGATGTCCAAAAGGGTCTGACGTCCATAGTTGATGTTTGCAAACTCGGCAATGCAAACACAAGAAAAAAGGATGTACAAAAATAACATTAAAAAGCACTGAAAGGGAGAGCTGTGAGCCGCTGCAACCATGCGTGCCGCCATCTTGGATAACGATAAAATATGCTCTGACTTGTGAGCATTGTGATTTTTAAAATAAGTGAGGCACCGACTTCCATTTTGCTGTGTGGCTGCATCTAGGTGGAATAAAGTATATAAATATAAACTATGCTTTCTAGTTTTTATTCACCAATCAATTCTATTTACTCGCTTCTTCCTTTTCAGGTCGTGGGGGTCACTGGTGCCCATGTCCAACCATCAGTAGCTATATTTACTTGCGCATAATTCTTTGACCGGATTGAAATGTTTTCAGATTAAATAATTCAAATGTATTGTTTACATGGGCACAATCTGTTCATGACGAGCGTTTACATGCAGCGGGCTTTGTTCTGAATAGCAGTACTGACATGTGCAGAGTGGTAAACTCTCCTAAAAAAAACACAGAAGAAGAAGTTCTACTTCCGGTTTACTTCCAAGATGAACGTAAACAAACCTGAGCGCACAGAATGGACCCGTGACAGGTTTTAATGACGGTGGAGACGTTGCTGTTTCATATATCTACATAAAAACACACAAAACAAACACAACTAGCTTGAACCTTTAATTTAACTATTAACCTCTGACTGTAAAGTGTTTGTAACGCAAAACTGAAAATGCTGTTGGGAGGTAAAGGGGGTGGAGCTCCTGCGGGTAAGGGGGTGTTTACCTTTGGGGTAAACTAAGGTCACCAATTGGTCAGTTGCTGACGAGCCTACAGTACTGATTGACAGCTGGCGTCGAGGATTGTGAAAAAAAAAAAAATCATAGATTTTACTGGCCCGTTTAAGACTGTCATCATTTATCCATCCATCCATCCATCCATTATCTTTACCTGTTTATTCCATTTTGGGTCACGGGGGTCGCTGGTGCCCATATCCAGCAATCACTGTGCGAGGGGCGGGGTACACCCTGGACAGGTCGCAAGTCCATCACAGGGACACATAGAGACAAACGAGACAAACAACCATTCACTCTCTCACTCACACCTAGGGACAATTTAGAGTTACCAATCAGTCTAACATGCATGTTTTTGGGCTGTGGGAGGAAACCGGAGTACTCGGAGAAAACCCACGCATGCACGGAGAGAACATGCAAACTCCACCCAGAAGGCCCCTGGACCGGGGTTTGAACCAGGGACCTGTTCGCTGAGAGGCAGCAGCTCTACCAGTTGCGCCACCGTGCTCTGTCATCATTTATTCCATATTTATTTCAAATATATTCAGTATTTTGGTGAGTCTAAGATTAGAGAACTTAACTTCCTTAGAAAATCCTAATGATTGTTTCCTAATTTTTATTTTGTATTATTTATTTAAGTTCTTTTATATATTATTTTATTTATTTTATTTATTTTCAGAGGTGCTGAGTTAAAATGCTTGAACATCCCCAAAAAGAGGCTAAAATTGCCCCTGATGACTGATAATAGTTTTATGTATTTACTGTAACTTTTGCTCATGGTTGGCAGCCAATAGCAATCCTTGTATTGTACTTAGCAGAAAAATCAGCATTTATTTTTGTCCGTGTTTATATTTATTAAATTAATTTGGTGCATTCAATGAACAGCCTAAAAATCCATCCATTATCTTTTACCTCTTCTTCCATTTTGGGTCACGGGGGTTGCTGATGCCCATGTCCAGCAATCATTGTGCGAGGGGCAGGGGACACCCTGGACAGATCGCAAGTCCATCACAGGGACACAGAGACAACGAGACAAACAACCGTTCACTCTCTCAGTCACACCTAGGGACAATTTAGAGTCACCAATTAGCCTAACATGCATGTTTTTGGTCTGAGGGAGGAAACTGGAGTACCTGGAGGAAACCCACACATGCACAGAGAGAACATGCAAACTCCACCCAGAAAGGTCCCCGGACTGGGATTTGAACCAGGGACCTGCTCGCTGAGAGGCAGCAGCTCTATCAGTTGCGCCACCGTGCTGCCCAGCATAAAAATATATATTTTAATTTTTTCAGAATGCTCTCATAATCTCACCATAGCATTACTGCTCTTGAGAGGGTCTGAATACTTTCTTGATTTTGTGAGACAGTGGTTGAGATTCTCCTCAGGCTGGTTAATAATCCCCAGGAGGTGGGGGGAGATGATTAGAGCTCACCTCCAGTCTGGTGCGGTCCACATCTCTGGGAAGTTTTACTTTCACTCTGTGCGTCACAGCCAGCACTTCATACGGGTACACCTGGTACAAAGAAAGGCATTGTGGGGCATTTATCAGTACTGACCAAATCTGTACGTTCAGGCTTCTGTGTGGAATCCAAACAAATTCTTACCTTGTACTCTGAGCAGGAAAGAGCAGACAGAAAAAAAACAAAGAGAAAACAAGGATTTTAATGAAACTATAAATATAAATTTGTGAGTTTAAACAGCAGATACCATACCACTTTATTTATAAAGCACTTAAAACAGCAACAAGGCCAACCAAAGTGCTGTACAGTAGTCCCTCGCTGCTTTGTGGTTCGTTTATCACGGACTCACTCTATCGCGGTTTTTCAAAATAAGATTGGACATGATACACAATTGGCAGATTGATGGATGAGCCACATGATGGAATGGCATTGAATTTATATTTAAAATAAATTATTTTAAATTATTTAGCATTTGCAGCACATTTGTACAGCCCAGAGCTGCAGAAAAAGCTTCCTCCTGCACTTTTGTGCAGCCCTTACTGCAGGATAAACATAAGCTGATCATCTGTTCTCTGTGCAGAGTGGAGAAGTGGGCGTGACCAAGAACGCTTGCAGGAGGCAAAGAGCTGAAATCATGACATTCTGTGCTCTGTTAGAGCGTTTAGAAACATTGTTTAGAATATTGCAAGAGTGTGAGAAGGGTTTTAAACACCTTTATTTATATATATATATATATATATATATATATATATATATATATATATATAAAATAAACTACTACTTACTCTTTGTACTATTATTCCTAATTTGTGGTTTTTCATTTATCGCGGATGTTCAGGGTATGTATCCCCCGTGATAAATGAGGGACTACTGTACAGCAAAACAAACAGTCACATGCAGAAGTGTCCCTGAGCAAGACAATAAACCCCTAAATGCCCCTTATGTGTGTCCTATCGGTGTATGATTATGATAAAGCATTGAATAGTCTTTGTAAAGATATCCTGAATTTTCTCGATTAAGTTGCTACTTTCTTCACAGTATTTGAACCTGGTGGCTCATACAATGCTGCAGCTAATTTATGTTTTTTTTTTTTTGAGTGACTAACAAGCTTCCTGCTACCAAAAACATTTACCATAATTGTTGCTTATGAGCTGCAACTTATGTCTCACACTTTGTAACCCATTGCTCATAAGGAGGAGCATCTAATTTATGTATGTTTCTCCAAATTATCAAAAATTTAATAATATATTTCATCTTTAAAGACACCCTGTCATTTCTTGATAGGTTCCTGTCAATTACAAATGTTTTCTTTTAACAAAGCATATTGTCTATGACTTAGCGCATCGCATCCCACCCCTCCTGGGATGGGTGTTATTGAAGCAGAGAGAATGCCCTCAGGTAATCAGATGTACAATGACTCTGGCTCATGGTTTCAAATACCCAACCATAACTCCACCCACTCTGTCATCATGTGACCAGAAGTCTAACCTGAATGACCAGCGAGGTACTCTCGAGGACCAACCCCCAAGAAAAACAAGCATTAATTTCTTCAGATAGTTCTCGTGTTGTTACTGGACTATGCGCTTCATGCACAGACCTGTTCATTTGTTCAACAATAATGGAAAACGCACAGAGAATTTCTTATGACGCAGCTTTCATGTTAAAAGCGATCGGCTGAAGAGGAGGACAGAGGAGGGCAGAGCTGCTGCCTGTAATCAACGTGTCGATGGTCAGGATTTGAGACGCAAAAGCAGTCAAGTCTGGTACATGTTTTAATAAAAGTTATAAAATTTGTTCTGTGTTGGTGAATACACATTTAAATATCATGATCTCATTTTTAAGTCACATCCAAACACGAAGCGGAGAAACAGAAAGGAGTCTTCCTCCCTCCCCTTCCGTCATGAGAGCACAGCGGTGGAGAAGTCGTCAGAATTATTTTTAAAGCAGTCAGTCAAGATATATTTAAATAAAAGTTTAAAAAATCTTCCTGTGTACGGTAGATATGTGTTTAAATACCAGTATCTCATTTAAGCTTAAACAGGGGCATTAAACAGAACTGAGGAGACGTTGGGGAGGGAGGGGCTCTTCCTCCGTCTTCCATCCTGCTTATATGAGCTCTTTGCTTTACACGGACACTGCGGGGGGAAAGGTAGGCTTTTTTCAGACGTTGATTCTAGGAAAAAATCTGCGTTGACACGGCGCATATTCAGTGTTTATATCAGCGGTGCCCAATATGTCAGTCGCGATCTACCGGTCAATCGTGAAGGCAATATCAGTAGATCACATGGCGAAATAGAAGTCAGACTTAAAAAATATATATATATATTTTTAATAGATGTCAGTCTATCAATCCATGAGTACACAATCGCGTTCCACCACATGTACCACATGTGGTGCGAATGACAAAGAAACTCTGACTCATCTTCACTATGCAGTTTGCCACTTGATTGACATACAGGTTAGCCTATCTGAGACCGACCTTTTCTGATACATAGGTCACCATGCATGCACAAACATCGGCATCCATGATTGACATACAGGGCAGCCAATCAGAGACCAGATCTTTTCTGACGCTTCGGTCACTACACATGCGCATTCAACCGCGCTAAAAACAAACGAGTTGGCTCGTAATAGCCTCCAGTTTATTTCTTCTAAACTAAACTCTAGAAAGTGTGTAAAATGAGTTGGGGAGCTGGACCAAGGAAGAAGCAAAAAACCTACCATTTCCATACGGAATGAGGGGGAGGACTTGTTTTTTTCACAATGTCATATTCAAAGTGCGTTTCACCGGAGCAGCATTTTCAGACTATATTCATAAATACTACGGCACCGACTTCCTCCTGAAAAGCAAGCTGAGAAAGAAAACGGTGACCTAAAATCCCAGTTTTGTAATGAACGTTTTTTGACTAAAATCCCAGTTATATGGACAGCAGTCATTTTTCTTACAGCTGACGACAGCAGCGAAACATCAGTCCGGGTGAGTCACTTTAATAATTGTTAAGCACAAGAAGTCTTTTCAAGACAGAGAGACATTATTCGTTGAACCAACTGACTCGTTGTTCAGAGACTTTATAAACAAACCAGAAATATTTTCTTCTATCAAAGCTCTCAGGTATCAAGAAATATGGTTACTGTTAAAAGCAGCTGCTGTCAGGGCTACATTTTCACATTTGTTCTCAAGTTCTCAGGTTATTTTTCAAACATGAAGCTATTCTTCTTGTTTCCTGTTCCTTTGTGTGAAGAACAGAAGCTATTGCTGTGTTTTGTTCATTCATTCAACTTTTACTTATTCAGGTTAGTCTCACTGAGTCACAAGGACTCATTTACAAGAGAGACCAGTTTTAGACAGACAACATATAAAATACAGTAAAATGCAATTAAAATAAAAGTAGGGTTATAAAACAATAAATCAAAATGCCATATAAAACGTGGTAAAAGACTAAAAACAAGAACGTAAAACATAAAAAGCAAACTTGATATGTTTATAAATAAGTATATGTTTTGTATCTTTATAGTAGGTAGATCACTTGGACGTGGTCATTTTAAAAGTAGCTCGCATGCTGAAAAAGTGTGGGCACTGCTGGTTTACATGAATCCCCCGAATCTACTCTAGTTACCATATCAGGTCATTAGTTGGCGCTGTGAATTTTGTACATTCACCTAATGTGCATGTGCGCTGCCTGGGACTGCTGTCTGTAAGGACTTTACTCTGGGCTGAATGCCCAGTTAACAACTTAACAACAAGTTAAAGCCAGATTTTGGATACGAATGGATGGATGCCAATCAGGATCGCTTCATCTAACAGTTAGACAGCGGTCGCTGAGCGAACCAGAACTGAGGAGGATGATGTCGGACTTCCCACTCTGGTAGTAATCAATAACTGTCAATGCTACAGCAGGTAAATCAACGATCTTAATAATGTTAGCTTGTGTTTACTTTGGTTACACAATAACCAACTGAGTTTTTATTTTTATTTTTCCTGCAAGGAAAAGCTATCCTCCCACCAGAGGCGGACCGATTCCAAAAGCGCCTCAGCCCGAAGCTCAGCAGTACAGGAAGACGTCAAAGAGAGAGATGTTTGATCAACTATTAACTTAAAATTCTCCTCCGTTCTTTTTTCCAATCCATTCAATGTATTAAGAAAAGGAGTGACAGCCTGTACAAGCCAGATAAACAACATGGCTCCACTAACCAGGATGAAAACAGAGAGGAAGAGTCCAGTTCATTAATGCAGTTTACAGTTTGGTTAATGTGTTTTTAATAGTGTGTTCAGTTTTATCAGTGTTTGTGTGACATATAGTTTGTGGTGTTGAATAAATAAATACAATTTAAACCTGACGTCTTCATGTTCAACTTTAATAACATGCGATATGTTTCATCAACAGTTTAAATCACATAACTTGAATTACATAATGCCCAAAAAGCTTCATTTAGCTCAGATAGCTTCATTACATAACATAAATACTGTTTATTATTGTTACTGTTATTATTTAGCACATTTAGTATGTTATCAATCAACCTTTATTTATACAGGTAAATCCCATTGAGCCTCGAGGACTCATTTACAAGAGAGACCTGATAATAGTTATAGTTATAGTCCTGCACGACGCGTGACATATATGCCTGCTTTGACAAGCTCGTTCAGCGATTTCGAACTGGGTCGGACTGGCATCTCTTCCCAACACAGATGTTGGTCACAGCAGCTACATTCCAGCATAGATTAACCATGAGACCCAAAATATATTCCATCAGTCATAGTACAGAAAGCAGTATGTTTTACTCTGCCGCCATTGTTGTTGATAGAAATGTGCCATTGGTCCACGCCTGAGTGAAATGCCTGTAGTGCGCATGTGCTTTAACACCTCTGCGGGAGCTGTGTACATAACAGCGGGCAGCTGCCTCGAAAACCTCCACTCTGAGAGGTGGGTTGAGAAACCTCTGGATTCAAAGAGGGGGGCTACTAGTGTTGTTTAAATGAACAGCTGAACCGCAGAGAGAAAGGAGCGGTTTCACTCAAAATACGCGCCGTGTAAACATCCCCTTTATTTTACTGTTTAACACACTGGTGGTAGGGTGGGTGGGGATCCCCCCTATGTGGAACACATGCTCCTCTGAGCGCGTGCTCTGTGGTGGTTCATTGGTTCGAATGTGACCTGTTCGGTAATTTCATTGGTCAAAAATTTTTTTGAACCTTTTTTATACAGGTAGTCTCATCCAAAGACATATATACTAGATGCCTCTTTGAGCAGGCTGGCCCGCTGCAGTGGTACGTCAGAGCGTCTGCCATTTTAAATGTGGTGGAACTGCTGCTCTTTTAATACAAATAAATGGACAGAACTTCATAAAGCACCGTTCTACAAAGTGTTTTAAGTTGATGCCTGTCATTCACACACAATAATATACTGTATGTGGAAAACAAACAGGCACCGAAGACAACATTTGTAACTTTTAGCATTAAAAATAAGCTAACTCACACTAATTGTGATAATGTTGTATTCAGAACTAACAAAAGCTACACTTACATGAGCTAAAAGCACCACAAAAACTGTATAATTTAAGGGAGAGCTAAAAATAAAAGAGCCTTAGCTGAACAGTCTCACCTCTCATGCACCCCCAGCTTTGGGAGTCTGGGTCCACTTCATCTTCGACCATCTCTGCAGCCTGCAGAATCACATAAAACAAACATAAATACCAATATTCCACTGCCAGGAACACTGCTTATTATTCTCAAAACCAGGGTTCATATCAAACTCATTATTTTTGTTTCTTAATTTAGTCACATTGTTGTTTTAAGGAGACCAGTGAGAGATAAAGATGTTTTTTTTTCTGGCAGTGAGTTTGTATCACTTCATTTAGAGAAAATAAAAGAAGAGGAGGAAATGAAACAGTCATAGGCATCGCAACTATTATATATGAAGGGGACGTGCTTTAAAATGAATTAAAGTAAGGAAATCTAGATTAAATGTTGCTTTTTTACACTAGTGCGTGTGCACACACATACTATAGTCCCCCCCTACACACACACACACACACACACACATTACAGATGCTTTTTTTTTTTTTCCCTTGTCCTGTCTGGCATTGTGACACTTGGAATTATTGTCTGAGTGTCAAAGTGATGCCCAACAGATTTACTTTCACAAGCAGAGCATTATGGCTGGCCTTAATGCTCCACTTGATATATAAATTATATTTTATTAGAATTTGCTTTGGGTTTGTTCCAGATTTAATGGACATGGGGACGGAAAACAAAGAAGATAAAGCAGAAAAGTGAGAGAAGAGTTAAAATGTAAAGAATGAGATATGAATAGAGGAGAGAGAGAGGGATAAAGAGAACACAAATCAACATCATTGAAGTCTGCCTCTAGACCTGCGGAAAGAGAAAAAAAAAAAAAAAAAACCCTGACAAAACCAAGAAACCACAACAACAAACAACATATATAATGATAGTTATAACATCATTAGAAAGTATTTTATACAGTACATGGTAATACAATATATATTTGATGGCCACCACAACCCAACTGAGTGTGTATCTGATAAACACCTGAATCTAAACACCTGTGTGACCATGCTTATCACTATAAGGTTTCTCATAAAAATGTTCAGTAGTGGATGTGGGGACCCATAAACCCGTCCCCACAGGACACGAAGGTAACACAGGGAAGCCCGGAACCACAGACACACAGCGGCCCCCAAGCCCGGAACTCCGGTAGTCCCCCAACAGGGACACCCACACCCCCCAGAGAGAGAAGCAAAGGGAAGCCCCGGGTGATCCCCAGCAACCACAATGCAGAAACCCCCAGGAGGCCGTAGCGACGAGTCAACAGGCCCCGCCGGCAACCTGCCCCTCCAGAGTGGATCCGGCCATGGACACCAAGCCCCGAGTCCCGAGGTCATACCACCCCCCAACAGAGGCCCGACAGAGCCAGGGCACCCAGGCCCCCGCAGGCAGCCACCAGGGCGGGTCTGCACACACCCCACCACCCAGCCCCAGCTGCTGAGAGCCACCAATGCACCGGCGGCAGGGGGGCCCACCACCGGGGGGGGGGGGAGCACGATCCACCAAATGGGGGGCCAAAACTGGTCCAAGAGAGGGGGGCCACCCAAAACCCAACCTGAGACAAACAGGCACACAGAGACAGCCCGACAGAGCCTCTGTTGGGCCGTCCATGCGCCCACCTGCCCAACAGTGACCGCAAGCCGGCCCCAGGCCGGGTGCCACAGCAGCAGGGAGCAGCAGCTGAGGAAGACCGGCCCAGCGCACCAATGCATCCCTAAAGCCACACACCACAGGCCCGGAGAAGCCCCGGCATGCCACCCATGCCCCCCCCCCCACACACACACACACAGCACCCCGCACTGTGAATGTCACATCAGGGCGACCAGCCAGCACTTCGTCGAAGTGAAGCCAAGCCCCCGACCGTTGCCATGCACTACCAACGACCACACACACACAACCACAGCTGACCTCCCACCAGAACCCGGCAGCCACCCCAGCCAAAGTGCTGGCCATCAGAACCAGGAACCCTGATAGGAGGATGCTTGAGGGGAGTGCTATGTCTGTAGCATGTTATCTCAGCAGTAACTGTGACGCTGTAAGACGCTGCAGGTGTGAGAGACGCTGTGTGTTCAGGTGCATTAAAGTTGAAATGTCTTTAAAACCCCACACCTTATTGTCCTCAAGCTTCGTGAGAAACATCCTTTTGTTGAACACAAGTAAAAAAGTCTAGTGGTGATGTTTCTTTATTTCTCCATAAACACAAATAGTGCAGATCTGAGGCTGTGTGTTAAAGTGCATTAAAGCTGAAATGTCTTTAAAACCCACAGCCAAATTTACACAAACTTAATGAGAAACGTGCTTTAAAATGAATTAAAGTAAGGAAATCTAGATTAAATGTTGCTTTTTTATACACTGGTGCGTGTGCACACACACACACTATAGTGTCTCCCCCCCACACACACACACACACACACACACATTACAGATGCTTTTGACGCCCATGGAAACAGTCATGTTTACATAATGAGTTGGACGCAAACTTATTTCTATTTATCTGAGGAGCAGACTGAGCAAGCATGAAGGTGACAGTGGAAAGGAAAACCTCCCTCATGAGGAAGAAACCTTTAGCAGAACCAAGCTCAGGACAAGAGGACATCTGCTTCGACCGGTTGGGTTTGGTAGGAACAGATACACAATGGCAGGTCCAGAATCACATATTAAGATACAGTAGAAATAGTATCAAATGAAAACTATTAAATTTTAACAATTCATTTAAGGAAATGAGGTCAATTTGTCCTCCAGTGGTCTAAGCTTAAGAGAGCATAACAAGCTGACCCTAACTATTTTTTTTAAAAAGGAAAGTCTTAAAACTGGACAATGTGTCTGCCTCATGGACAGAATCTGGAAGTTGGTTCCACAAGATAACTTGATAACTGAAAGATCTGCCTCCCATTCTGCTTTTGTAAATTCTAGGAACCGCAAGTAAACCTGCAGTCTGAGAGCGAAGTGCTCTGTTAGGAAAATATGGAACAACAAGATCTCAAACATAAGATGGAGCTAGGTTGTTGAGAGCTTTGTAGGTTAGAAGTAAGATTTTGAATTCTATTCTGGATTTGACAGGGAGCCAATGGAGAGAAGCTAAAACTGGAGAGATATGATCTCTCCTACTAACTCAAGTTAAGACTCTGGCAGCAGCATTATGGATAAACTGAAGAATTTTTAAAGAAGTATTTGGACACTCAGATAATAAACCATTGCAATAGTCCAGTCTAGACGTGACAAATGCATGGACCAGTTATTCTGCATCATTTTTAAATAAGATGTTTATTTATTTATTTTTTATCTCTGGCTCTTGCTCGAGGTGGCTGCTTGCCTTTCTTCTCTCGTTTTTTTCCTTCCCCTTGCTTTGTTCTTTGTGTGTCTGAAGCACCTGGTACACATCTCCCAACATAAATTAAGCTTATGGATCTGGTATCCTGGACGTTCAACGCTATCAACAAGATTTTCTAAAAAAATACGACAAGGTCCTGGAGAACCTGCTTGTCCAGCTGAGACACATGCAGTAGACTCGGTTCGGTTCGGGACCAATATTCATGAGCTTTTGTTTACATTTGAGCTGGTGAGTTTGCATTCACACTGCACTGTGCAGTCGAGTCAACCTGTTGAACCAACCTATTCCCCCGCTCGCCTGTGGGGGCGCTGCACCAAGAACTACTGAAAGAAACGACACAAAAACCTCTGAAGACACGTCTTCTTCTTCTTCTGGAAATAAAAATAAAAACGAAGTGGCATCAAGTTTTAGCAGTTTTAGGAGTTATATTTTGTCATTTTTCAAAAATGGACTTAGCATGAGCAGAAGATGAGACAGAAGACCATGGAGAATATTGTTTTTCCACACAAGGCAGCTGACGGCTCCATATAAGGTCAGAGCAATGCGTATTTGTTTGTCCTGCGGAACGGGGCTCGGTCTGTTTACATTCACACTGTACTCGAACCGCGCTGGAGTTCTCTTCTACCGGACCGAGACCTAGGTTTTAGCCCGGGCCAGAATTCGCCTTTTTGTTCCGTGACAGAGTTAGATGGCGCGTTCACACCTCCCTAAACGAACCAGACTTTCTAGGAAAATGAGCTAGAGTTCGATTAAATTGGACTAAACAGGGCTGGTGTGAATTCACCCTCACTAACAGGGATTTAGTGGAAAGAGATCGGATCTTCAATAGTCCCCATTTAATGATTTTATTATTTTGTTCTGGTAAAGTAGTTGTGTTTAATTTAACAAGATTTTTATGGTTAATATTTTTAAAGATGATTTTTGGTTTATTTGATTTGAGCTGTGGGCAAGTTGACATTGTTTCAATGTGGTATTGGGTGGGTAACGAAAAAGCAGCGGAGAAGTGTGGAAGACTACATCTCTGCTTCCCGGACTGATTTCTAGACTGGACCGTTAATTGTCAACAAACTGGATGTCCAACTGAACCAGCTAAGTTTTTAGAGAGAATATCCTGATGCATGCTCAATAATCCAGGTAGAAAAATCTAAAAATGTTAAATCTGTTCCTCTGGACATTCAAAAAACAAAACAAAGCAAAACAACAACAAAATCTAGAAACGTTTCATCTTTCATCCGAAAGACTTCCTCAGTCTGAGGTACTGTATTCATTAATAACTGCTTATTATGCATTAATTAAGGGTGACAGAGACAAAACTGACCAGTTTCTTGCCAAATTGTGAGCCAAGTCTGTTGACCTATAAATACAGGCCTCCCATGCAAAATAAATATGTGATCTTAATGGGATTTGCCTGGTTAAATAAAGGTTAATAAATAAATATTTCATCTAGAGTTGTTATATTAAACATTTCGGACCAAGTTACTACCTTGTAAGCACAATAAGCATTTGTAAACCTATTTCTTTAGCATATAATATTGTATTTTATCACTGCATTATCAGTATCTACAACTAATATTTTATCCTAAAAAATAGGTTTACAAATGCTTATTGTGCTTACAAGGTAGGAACTTAGTCTGAAATGTTTAATATAACAACTATAGATGAAATACATAGGTGGCAGATTTGTCTCACGATTTGACAAGAAACTGGTCAGTTTAGTCTCTGTCACCCTTAATTAATGCATAATAAGCTGTTATTAATGGTTTATAATGTGTGTATAGAGGAATTAATAATGTATCTATAAACTATTTATTAGCCATCTATAAGTGGTGGCAAAATGACTACTTTCTGCAAGTTTCAATAAAGTTCATCCAGTGGTTCCTGAATGTGAGGTTTACTCGAACATCACATGGTTTACATGACAACATTTCAATAAAAACGCTCACTCAGTGAGCAGCCTTTAGATTGTATTGTCAATGATCCTCATTTACAACCACAACAAATATACACTTGTCTGTAAAACTGACTAAATGATCATCAGTTTTGTGTTTTATAGGGTCACTTGGCTGTGGTGGCCATCTTGACTTAGCTTGGCTGCAAATCTTAAACATTTGTTGAGGTACATCAAATGATTTTTTTCTGGCTGCTCCCTCCTTCAGGGGTCGCCACAGCAAACCAACTCGCACGAAGAAGGCGATAGTTTTTACTCTGTATGTCCTTCCTGACACAACCGCAGACCACAGAGCTACCACAGCCCTCTGTGTGGAGCAGAGAGCTGCTGTCTAGGGTGCCCGGGGGAGCAAATGGTGGGGGTTAAGGGCCTTGCTCAAGGGCCCAGAGTGGGGCAAATGAGGGTGGAGACAGGTGTGGGAGCTCCACCTATCCCACCCACGTTTTGATGTTGTCGATTCGGAGAGTTGAACTGGCACATGCTCGTCTTCTGTAACCTCTGCACCACCACTCCCCCTTGAGGTTCGTCGAATGCTAATTTCCTCAAAAGTTTATTAAAACATGTCCAGTGTCTTATGAGATATTTTGGTAACAGACAGACACACAAACACTCACTTATGGCGGTATACAAAGGTCACATAGAAGCAACATACTGTAAACTAAAGAAATTGAATTTCCTGTGAAAAAGTAGTGTGAATGCTTATTGCAGATGAACTTGCTGAGAAACAGCTGAAAGTGGCTAAAAAACATCCTAAAATGTAGCTGAAATAGATGAATAAGCCTAAATTAGCAGAAGGGAAGTCTGAAATTATCATTGATGTATGTTCCCATACAATGACAAAATTAGTTCTCTACATTTAACCCATCACACCTGGGCTACACCCAGGTGGAGCAGTGGTCAGCTATGTAAGCACCCCGGGAGCAATTAGGGATTACGTACTCTCTGCCGTAAACGTTGCACTGCCATATAAGTCGCATCAGTCCAAATATGTCTAATAAAGTGGAAGAAAACATAAATATGTCGCTTCGCCGTTTATGTCGCATCTATTATGTGTCACTGCTGACGTGTCACATTTGTTATTCGTCATCGCTGACCACCTGGAAATGTGGGCCAGTGTTGTGCCAAACAATGATTGGCTGCCAAATGGTGGCTGTGGGAGTGTGCAAGGGAGGACTTTAACAAGAATTTAACAAGATGAACACAAAAACAATTATTTGTTTGCTCAAAATTATAGTAAATGTGTGTCTTAGTCTAACTTTTTCTTAATAAATGCACTTTGGTGGTCAAATTAGCTGCATTTCGCCTAACCCTAACATTAACCCTGCAGCTGATTTGACATTTGCTCCAGGAGTTCCAGAGCAAGACCAAGGGGTCTTGCTATGGCAAGCCAAGTGTCTCAATATTAGCCACTTTTACCTATTAATGATACACTTGGCTTGCCATATTACTCAAGTGCCCTCTAGTGGCTGAAAATGGTAGTGTTCAATGTTTTCCATGTCAGCATGAATGAAATCATCAGATCTCAGCCAAAAATTGGGTAATAAATATGGGGAAAAAAACGTATATTAGTCGCTCCGGTGTATAAGTTGCAGGCGTGCTAATTTATGAAAAAGGTGCGACTTGTATGGCAAAAAATACGGTAGGTGTCTTGCTCAGGGACATCATACATGTGGGAATGGCTGGAAGTCAAACTGCAACTTTATGGTCCCCCGTTCGGCTGTCCTACCTCTACCCCATCAGACAGAACACATATTTGCTGAATTAGCTTTAAATAAGCAGAAATGAGCACAAAAAACAGGAAATTAGCTAAAAGAAAGCTGAAATTAGCACAAAGAATTAGCTGAAAAGGAGAAAGCAGAAAGAACACATTTGTCCAATTATGCTGAAAGAAGCAGAAATTAGCACAAAAAAGTGGAAATTATCTGAAAGAAGATGAAATGAGCAAAAAAACTGCTTAAAAGCAGCATAAACAGCAGAAAGAAGCTTAAATTACCAGAAGGAAGTGTAAGGAGCATTTTCACTGAATTAGGATGAAAAAAGTTGAAATGAATGTAAAAAATATGGAATTAGCTGAAAAAGCTAAAATTAGCATAAAACAGCTAAACAGTAGCTGAAATAGCAGAAAACGCTGAAACTTGCAGAAATAAGCTGAAATGAACTGAAATAAGTTAGAAGAAGCACAAAAATATTGTAGTTAGCAGAAAGAATCCGAATGGAGCACAAAACATCTGAAAATACAGCTGAAATTAGCTGAAAGTAGCTGAAAAAAGGAGCAATAAAAGGTTGTAAACAGATCTAAATATATAAAGGATGTAAAATTAGCTCAATTCATTTTCTTTGTAAAAAAAAAAAAGGCAGAACAGGCTAAATATTTCAAATGTTAAAGTTGCACCAATCGGCCAATCTCTAAACTCTGCATTTTAGCCAAGGTTCTAGAAAAACTGATAAACTCTCAAATCAAAAATTACCTGGACTCATTTAACATCTTACCTCCACATCAATCTGGTTTCAGGAAACAACACAGCACAACCACTGCTTCACTGAAGGTTCTTAATGACATCGTTGAAGCACTGGATGCTAAGGATTATTGTGCTACACTTTTCTTAGACCTGTCTAAAGCTTTTGACACTGTGGATCATAACATCTTGTGTCATAAACTCTCAGAAATTGGTTTCTCAGAACACACCATTGGTTGGTTCTCTAACTATCTTTCAGACCGGAGGCAATGTGTTCAACATAATGGTACTTCCTCCAGTTATTTAACAGTCAACAATGGTGTACCACAAGGCTCAGTCTTAGGACCCACCCTCTTTACAATCTACACATAATATAGGTAAAAACATCCCTAATGCATCCATACAATTCTATGCTGATGACACAGTTGTTTATTGTCGAGCTAAAACAGTTGCTAAGGCTTTCCAGCTTTTGAAATCTGCATTCAACAACATCCAGACAGATTTGTTCCGCCTCAAACTTGTCCTAAATGCCGACAAAACCAAAGGGATGCTTTTTTCAAATAGGAAGTTGGTCCCAGCAGTTCTTCCTCCGATTTTATCTTCAAATGGCGTCCCCATTGAGTTTATCCTGATGCATGCTCAATAATTGAGTTTGTCCCCATTGAGTTTGTTAATTCCTATAAATATTTGGGTATCTTGGTCGACTCACATCTCTCTTTTAAGCTCCATGTGGAAAACTTGGTAAAGAAACTGAAAGTTAAACTGGGTTTCTTTTTCAGAAATAGATCCTGTCTAACCCTGAATGCTAGGAAACACCTTGTATCGGTGAATTTCCTTCCCTCCATTGATTACGGTGACATTATTTACATGAACGCTCCTACAAGAACCCTGCAGATGTTGGATGCTGTCTATCATGGTGCACTAAGATTCATAACTGGCTGTGATTATCGTACCCACCACTGCACCCTGTATTCACTGGTTAACTGGACATCATTAACTTCACGCAGACTCTCCCACTGGTACATTTTCATCTTTAAATCACTTCTTGGTCTGCTGCCTTCATACATCTCCTCCTACATGTCTCTGCGTGAGTGCAGCTACGGCGTGCGCTCTCAGGACATTATTACCTGCAGTGTTCCCTCAATGAGGACTGAACTAGGCAAGAGGGCCTTCTCCTACTCCGCTCCTGTTTCCTGGAATACCTTAAAAAATAATTGAAGCTCTCGACCTTGACCTCTTTAAGTGGCTTTAAGAATCTGTTGGACTCCTGGCAGGGACCAATGCAGACATGTTCCTGTTTTTGGTTTTCTACATTCGCCTTAGAATCTAGCTGTTTTTTTGTTACCTTTTTCTTTTAGCCATCCTATTTGTTAAAAAAAAAAAAACTGTAGTATGACTTTTTATAACTGTTTATTGTCGCTGTTGTCCATTGTTGTCATCATTCATTGTTGAAATCAGGTCTCTCTTGTAAATGAGTCCTCGAGGCTCAATGGGATTTACCTGTCTAAATAAAGGTTGAATGAATGAATGCACCAATACCAAAAGTCATAGCAGGATCGTCCTGAATGAGCTGAACGTTTTGATTTATGATTTGTTGAAATGACTGAAAAACTGTGGGACGAGAAATGCACCTAAAAAAGTACAAAAGTAAAATGGATCACAATAGTGTGACTGCTTCATAAACATTCACACTATTAAGTAATTTGTTCTCAGACTTCAGTCAAAACATTTTTAACATCTGACGTTACATTATTTGGCTGTTCTGCCAAAGGTCTGGGACTGTTTGAGGTTCTTGTCATGGTGCTCACCTTGTAGATGCCGTTCCTTCCATAGCCTGGTAAAGAAGCAGACTTATTGTAGGGGAAATCTGCAGAGATGCAAACAACATTTACCAGGAGTTTCATTTCACCCATTGTGGTTATTCAGTATCTAGGAGAGGTTAGGAAAGTCTCCTCACTTGGCTGTGATGTGTCAGTGGGCAGACTGCAGGTGGATTTGCGCGGATCCAGGTCCTCTGGAGCCATATGACCATCAATCTCACCTTTTAAGATCATCCAAGTTGTCCTCTAGATGGAGAGAGATGGAAAGAAGAGAAAGAGGACACAGAATAATGGCAAAAGGTAGTAGATGATGTTGAAGTATGAATTAGTTCATTAGTGGATGAATGTTCAGCATTTGTAGAGTTTAAGAAAATGATTTGAAAGAATAAAGACAGATCATATAAAAACAGAGTTTACACACAGACCTACCTTGCTATCCTCACCATCCTGCCAGGATGTTCTAGAAGCTGTAAAAGAGTCAGATGTTACTGGATGTCACAGTTAACTGAGTCGCCTCACTGAACTGCAGTATGAACTCTAATTCACTCTGGAGCATGACATCATCACCTGGAGACAGCATCTGGAGGGAGTGCCACATGCACCAAAACCACCTCCACAGGTATTACTGTGGTGTCTGAAGGTAAATCTACAAAATCTACCTTAAGAGACCAATCCGTTGGTCATAAGAGCCGGATATGTAAAATCTAAATTACTATAAAATCTGTATTTATTATCCCGTCAGTGTGTTTTCTAAAAGCCTGATTTCATTGAACTCAGCATTGCTATATATAAGTGTATGTGTGTGTGTGTGTGTGTGTGTGTGTGGGGGGGGGGGGGGGGGGGGGGGGTGACAAGCTTTACCATATATTATCCTTAGTGCTTTGAAAAAGTATATATACCTCTTGAATTGATAGTGGATTGTTCAAGGATTAGGATATTGTTTTATAATCTGACTCTGCTTTAAGTTTTTCACAAACTATCTCTGGCTCGTCTTAGTGTTCCTTGGGCTTCATGGTGCTGTTTGGTAGTTAATGTTTTGTAACAAATCTCTGAGGTCTCCACAAAACATCTGGATTCTTATTAATGTTAATTTACACACAGGTAGACTTGATTTACTAATTAGAGGACTTCTGAAGTCCTTTGTTGTATTTGCTGTATTTAAGTGAATTTGGGAGCTGAACACAAAATGCATGCCACTTATTTCAGACTTTTATTTGTAAAACTTTAAGGTGAAGGGAAAAGCTTTCATTTTTTTAATCCTCGGTTTTAGGAAAGTTTGGGAGTTTTCTAGAATGCAACTAAAACATTCACTGATACCAGCCTGCCTTCAGTATATTTAGCGCAGAATTCTGTTTTGTTCCCCAGCTGACACTTGATGGCAACTCTAATGATTCATATTGTTATTTACTAGGTGCAGTCAGTATATGCCGCTGATTGTGTAGATACTATTCTCATACAAAGACTATGGTGAAAGTGTTGTACTGCACTAAAGGCTGAGTTTTGTAGTTCAGAAAAGGATTGGGAGTTACAGGCAGCACACTTCTTTGCACTGAACCTTCACAGCTGTCAACAAGTAAACCCTATCACATTCTCAGAGCAGGACACTAATGTGTGAGGACTTCACACATTAGGGTGAAGGCCGAGTCCATGGAGGCACATTTGGTGGGTAGCCGGGCTCAGACTAGAGTCTAATTTGGGCAAAAGGGCATGGCGCTCACGGGGGAGGAGGGGGAGACACCTCTGTTTCGCATGCTAGCTTAGCGCTGCGTTAGTGCTGGCAGCTGTGACTGGGTGGGGTGTTAGGATGTGTGAGAGAAGCAGAGCACTATGTCTGTAGCATCTTAGCTAATGCGTCTGTATTGCACGCCACTAACTTGGCACTATGTTAGTTCAAACAGTTTTTGATGCTGGGGGTGGGGGGGTGGGGGTGCTCCTTGTGAGTTGTTGGTCAGACTACTTCTTGTTGCTCTAAAATAGTTATTGAATCAAGTGTTTACTTATGTAGGTACAAGTAGATGTTTAACAACTCTTTAAAATACACCAGAATGCAGGAAATGACATATACTTTATTAAAATTTTTATGGGGGAGGACACCCAGACACCCTCCCCCCCCATTACAAATGTTACTGATGCCGATGAAATGGACCTCCATTCTGTTTTGTTTTTTCAACACAATGGTATGACTGGTTGCCGGGCCTTCAGTGCCTTCATAAAAGGCCCAAAAATCCACCATGCATAAAATGATGCATTTACATTTTTAACAGAATAACTAATTTATCTACAGTAAAATAAATACAGTATTTTCAATGTAGTTTTTACTATTTTTGTTCATTTCTGTTTTATTTACTACTTTGCAGTTGAGCATGATTTTCTTCTTATTTATTATGAAAACTCAGTTATCCAATCAGATTATTTAAAATTATTGTCTCCAGGCAGAAACAGAAGGAGCTCTCATTGGTCAGAACTTTGTCAGGAGAGAAGGCTGGAGAAGTTTCATGTGTAATTGATAGGATTTTTTTTTTTTTTATCAACCAGATTGCTGATATAGAATGGGTGGGAACAAAACATGGGTCTCAAGACTTTGGGAAGACCTTGCAAAGATTTTTATTATTATTTTTTTGACCATGTGAAGATTTGTGATGCATTCAGTTCCTACATGTAAATTCAAAAATCCACACAGAAATTGTACTTACTCTAAAAAAAAAAAAAAAAGAAAGTTAAAAATCAATGTACAATATTACAGTTGTATTTTGGTCTACCGTACTTTCTGGACTATAAGCCGCTACATTTTTCACAGGCATTGAACCCTGCGGCTTATACAATGCTGTGGCTAATTTATGGATTTCTTTTTTTTTTTTTTTAAAGGGCTAACAAGCGTCCTGCTGCCAAAAACATTTAGCTTTGTCACACCCGGGTGCTCACATATGCTCACATATCTGCCCAATACACGTCTCTCTTGGGGCGTGGGTCATTGTGACTTTGGCCCCATTTAAACGGACACGGCAGGGGAAAATGTAGGGTTTTTTTTTTTTCAGATATTGATTCGAGGAAAAAAAATCTGCATCGGCACGGGCAGCATTTGCTGTTTACATGAAAGCAGGACACCCCCCAAGTCTGCTGTAGTTGCCATGCCAGGTCATGAGTTGGTGCTGTGAATTTTATACATTTATCTAATGCGCATGTGCGCTGCCTGGGACTGCTCTCAATAAGGACTTTCCAGTTCAGGAATAAGTACTGGTGACCATACAACAGGGACAAAAGTTTAAAAATGACCAATTCTAATGGCATTTTGGGAAACTTCCTAGCTTTCATTAAAAGGGGATTTGTAAAAATAGTTAGATAAATATTTAAAATATTTATACACATGATTGCAATGTGGAATGAAACAAATTCTGCCAAAATAATGTATTTAAAGATGCTTTAATGGAAGATAAAAACACTATCAGGAACCAAATGACTGCAAATTTCTGATGACCAGGCTGCTGCTGGCCAGCTTGTAAATCTGTGCACATGTGCATGCAAAGTTTATTAACTTCTCATGTTTGATAGGATGACAGCAGTGAAACAAGTTGTACCTCCAGTGTTCGTGCATTAAGGTGCCTCCAATACAGGTCCTTCTCAAAAAATTAGCATATTGTGATAAAGGTCATTATTTTCCATAATGTAATGATAAAAATGAAACTTTCATATATTTCAGAT